TTCGAGGCCATCTGGGCCGACACAGCCAAGGGTTAGCGTCCGGCCTGATTTGGGGCAGTGCTTTCTCTTCAGATTATTTGTGAGGTAGCAGAAGAGGTGAGACTCTTTCTGGTCAACAGTCAGGCAGTTCTCCTGTTATAGAAAAATTATGAGAGTCCAGGCTCGACGTAGTGGTTGGTGAGCTATATTAGGAATCATAACCTCTCCTTCAAAGTCTAGACAGTATATTTGTAGCTCTGGCTTATCTCGGGGGTTATGGATTCAGGGACCAGAGAGCTTTCAGTCCTTACATGGATGGGTTCGCTGTGACTTAAAAACTTCCCACTGAAATTAGCAGGCATAATCTGGACAGACACTTGGAAAGATTACCCCTAGTTCCGCTGAAGGCCAGGTTTGGAAGTAAATTCTCTTAAAATCTTGGGCTTTAGGAAGTACAGACTGAAGATGAACGTGGTATGCATTGAAAAGAGGATATTAAAAATGTCATTTAAAACTAGAAGGCTGAGGAACTCCGGTCACGATGGGGGCGTAGGTAACCGCGGTATCGCGTCCTCCCACAACCACATCCAAGTTACAACTAAGCTACAGAACAACCATCATTCAAAACCGCCTGAGATCAAGCTGAATGGAAGTCCTACAACTACGGAATTAAAGCAGCCACATCGAGACGAGTGGAATGAAGAGTCCCAAAGGAGGCTGGTGTTGGCCTGTAATGCTACCCACCAGGACAATGAACATAATACATAATGCAAAGAAGATGAGTACATGCAGCTGAATCACAATGACAGTTGTCAGCAACCTCCAGGCAACATTCAGAGGCTCTGTGAGTATCCAAATGTTCAAATCGTGATGCTGGTAGGAAACAGGATGTGTCTCCTTGCTCAGGATATTAACTGGACCTGGCACAAGCTGAAATTAAAGCACCAAAGGACACAAATAAGGAAGATGACAAATACCTCCAAGATCTGCGTGATGACTCTATCCCTGAGTAATATACTCAAAATAATGAAGAAAAGTGGACTCATGAAAACAGCAGTTAAGGTATGCCTAAATATTAGAGTAAAATTAAGCTCTCACAGTCCACATGTATATCAAATTTAAGTTTATATCAAACTATCTCAATAGAAATATTAAATAGTATTGAATGTAAAAAAATTAAAAAAATAAAAAATAAATAAAACTAGAAGGCTACCCTGGCCAGGTGGGTCAGTTGGTTGGAGAGTCATCCCATACACCGAAAGGTTGTGGGTTGGATTCCTGGCCAGGGCATGTATCTGGGTTGCGATTCAATGCTGGGTCGGGGGGCATACAGGAGGCAACCCATCGACATTTCTCTCTCACATCAATGTTTCCCTCTCCCTTCTCTCTATAAAATCAATAAAAACATACCCTTGGGTGAAGAGTAAAAAAATATAAAATTACATTTTGACAAACTGGGAAGCTGATTCCTGGCACCAGTCAACTCTCCCAGGATCCGCCACTCCCTCTGTGTACAGTAAGTTCTCACCCTCCACAGACTGGTCACCTCTGGTGAGACCGAAGAGATGGGGAAAACACGTTCTGGCCACTCAACCTGGTTCCAAGGATAAGTGCTCATCCTTAGTTCGCAAAGGAGAGAAGACACCCAGGCGCGTCTGGAACAATTGTCACCTTTCCAACGTCCGTGTCGATGACACCAAATGATAGATGCCGAAGAAATAATTAAAGATAAACGGGAAAGAGTTTTCCATGATTCACTAAAGTGGTAGGAGTCTTCTGTCAGAAAAGCTTGGAACCATTTATTAGCTGCTGCCTCAAATTTAGCATTTAAATTAATTATGCCGAGTTAGGAATTAAGCAAAACAGAAAGTGTTTCAACATGACCAGCTGCTTCAGATCCCAACTGCTTCACAGTTAAAATGTTTACTTAATCTTCTGTTTTGTTCTGTGTTTTTGGGATCCCACAATAAGCCCCATTCTTAACAGATTAAATGTCATAAAAAGTAAAATATAATATTGGTCAGCTAACCTGTCTGTCCCAAACCCTCTTAAAACACCTGGGAAAAGCCTGCCTCAATAGCCATGTCCTTTCCTCTGGGGAAGAAGGTCCAGCTGGACGCTCCTTTCACGGAGCCCCGCGGGACAGAAGCAGAGGTCACGGGTTAGGTTACGGTGGTGGTGGTGGTGGTTGTTTTCGTTATTATCAGGGTGTCAAATATTAGACCAGAAGAAGGTGGTCTCATACAACCCTCATTCAATGATCCTTTCTCAAAGAGATCGAGATTGACTGTGTGGGTCAACTTAAAAGACCAGAGCCGAGCATACTCCAGGTACATGGAAGGGAACCAACCTCCATCACCTGCACATGATCAGAAGCACCACAACTGGTAAACTTAGAGTAGCGATTTTCAACCTTTTCATCTCATGACACACATACATTAATTACTAAAATTCGGCAGCACACCGGAAAATATATTCTTACCAATCTGACAAAAAAAAAAAGCTATCATTTTGATTCATTCACACTGGACAGCTGTGGTTGTGTTGGCTGTTGTCATTTTTTTATTTGACAGTCTAAGGGAAAGGAGTCAGTGCCCCTGACTAAATAGTCAGATATTGCCTGTTTTCAAAATTCTCGTGACACGCTGGCTGAAAATCGCTGACTTAGAGCACCATAAAGTCATGGGCCTGCCCATCCGAAGCTTACATTCTAACACACTGAGAAATTGTGATTGCTCCTGATGAGTAAACAAATCAATCACTGGAGGGCAGGAGGCAGGACAGTCAACAAGATGAGCAGGTGTTAGTGAGATCAGCCAATTCCTCATGCTAAGAGGCAAAAACGATTTTAGGAATAAAACAAAATTCCTATCCAAATCTTTTCAGGGTCGGTCAGTAAGAATTTGGAAACTCAGTTGATTTTTGTCAATTTCACATCAGTAACAGAAGTCAACTACCTTGATCTGTTTATTGAAATGACCTGAAGAAAAAAAATGGCTAAAGAACCGCCCAGTAACTGTAAGACACGATTTGAATCTCTACGCAACTCTGGTCCAATTCAGTCACTTACTGCTATGGCTGGGAAAAGATCCAAGCCAAGATTTAAGTGGCTGAAAAAGGGGGGGGCACAGGGTGAGAGCCTCCAAACACCACCACTTGTCCCTAAACTTGTAACCCACTCATAAACCTCCTACATCCTAGCACCACCACCGCCACGTTCCGCAGCAGCCCACTCTCCCGAACTCGATTCGGCCGGCAGAGACATGCCAACTCGCATGACTCTGCTCTGCGTCACTCTCCAGCTCGCCAAATTTAGGCAGGGAACACATCGGTTCACCTTCCCAGAGCTTTCTAGAATTTGTCTAGTGACACGGGCTGTCTATAGCCTGTCACTCGACCCAGTTTCAATAACCTCACAGTCTATTCAACACACAGAAATAGACCACATGCCAACCTAGCCACAGGCTTGCTTCTCTCCCGAGTCACGGTGCTGGCTGCCCAATAACTCTCACTAAAAACACAAACTCACTGAAAACACAAACATTGAGATCTAGTGCGTCAGTTGCTTGGGATAGGTCTTTTTTTTTTTTTTTTTAACAGTTTTCTGAAAAAAAGCAAGTCTTCCACACTGATACCAACTGGCAAAACCACCTCGACATATGCTCTGTCCAGATAACGCAGATTTCACTCAACTTCTTAAGTTAGAGAATTCAGCACGACCTAGAGGGACCTACAGGAGGTCTATACCCCATTGCCTTTTGTAAACCAAGAGTAAAGGAACCTGTGAAGGTTTTAATTCTCCAGTTGTAGTCACCAAAAGGACCAGGACGACCCCCTTGCAGAGGCCGAGGCCTCGGTCTGAATGCTTCCCTGCCGCGAGGCCGAGCCCTGCTCTGGTCATTTGTTCAATCTCCGTTTTCACAGCCTGTGTGTGGCAATCAGGAATACTTTTTGGATAAGGCAAAAACTCTTTAGATAATACACCCATGATATTTTTCTCTCTTTTAAAACATGTATTTCTTTTATTGATTGATTTTTAGAGAGGGAGGGGGGAGAGACATCAATTTGCTGTTCTAATTGATGCATTCCTTAGTTGCTTTTTGTATGTGCCCTGACCAGGGATCAAACCCACCACCTTGGTGTACTGGGACACTAACCAACTGAGCTACCAGCCAGGGCAACACTTTCCCTTTTTGTGAACTGTGCTCTCCAACAAAAGGAGCCTCCTGCTCTTATGGAATTTGCAGACTTAATTCTAGAATAAAAAAGGAACTGGCTCATCCTGAGGACGAAGGTATAGGTCTCCTTCAACGCACACACTTTGAGGACCAAGTGTGGCACACTTGTTTCGGAGGCTGGAAGCAGAGGAGGGCAGGGCAGAAAGCAGAACCAGCAGCAGTGAGTTGCTTGGTTACTGACTCTTCTCCACCCTTCTTAGTAAGACATTTCATTAGCAATTAGTTAATTACCAGTCCTCACTGTTTAAATCTTAGCAAGGAAAAAGGAGGGATGTTGACATAGAGAAATGAAATGGATTACTACCAGTCTCTGGATTTTCTTCTTCTAACTGAAATTCATTCAGTCTAGGAACCAGTCTTTAGTTTAAATGGGGAAACTGTGGCACATTAAGGCGGGAGATAGCTGGAGAAAGAAGGAAAGCAAGGAAACCATAGTGAGTTTACCTGAAAGTGATCACTTTTGTAGAGTCCATGAAAATGCAGCAAGTAGGCTGGCCCCTGGGGTTCCGAGAAATGAGGAAACTGCAGTTTGCATGCCGATGCTACCTTTAACATCTGGGTCACCTGGGGCAAAGAAGCTGTTTCCTCTTTCTTAGAGACCAGGGAGGAGGGAGGCATCTAATTCTTTTTATTTTTATTATTATTATTTTTTTCTTTATTAACTTGAGAAAGAAAGGGAGGGAGAGAGATAGATGAGAGAACATAGATTGGCTGCCTCCTGCATGTCCCCCACTGGGGATCGGGCCCATAACCTAGGCATGTGCCCTGACTGGGAATCGAACTGGCAACCTCTTAGTGCATGGGTTGATGCTCAACCACTGAGCCACATGAGCCGGGCTAACTCCATTTTAATACCAGTACTTGATAAAGTAGTAAGATGTCTGTAAAATGCTTTGAGTGCCCAGGAAACAAATCAGAGGCAAATAAAATAAAATAAAATCACTGCGCATCACAGACTCGAAGGGAAGAGAAATGAGTCATTGAGAAGCAGGAACACCAGCTCCCCAGGTAACCAACAGCGGCCTGGAGCTTCCTCCACCCTGTACTCTGCCCTTTCACCTGGAATGAACCCACAGAACGGCCTGCTGGGGCAAGAGATCTGGCTTTGGCTCTCCTCCACACTGCGGCCATGTCCCAAATTTACCCCTCTGGAAAGATGCTCAGGGAGACTAGAAGTGAGGAATGATCAGAATAGACCTTTTGGTATACTTTCTATCTTGAAAGAGAAAAGGATTTAAACCAATATAATGACACACAGGTTGATGTACATCTGACAGTAATAATGAAGATGCACTGACCTATAAAAAGTCATTTAATGTATATTCCAGGATGGCCAATACAAGCTGGTTAGGTAATTAGCCCTTGAAGAGTTCTTTTTACAGTTATATAAAAATGTTTTGCCTTGTTTAAAAAAAGAAATCTAGTCTAACAAAAACATATCCACCAATGGCTTGTGGGTTTTTTTCCATTTTCAGGTTTGCAAGATAAAAATACATACATATGTATCTCTGAGCTTATCACTGTCCATTAGCTAATCAGTTTTGGCAACACACTGCACAGAGGTATACCACCATTGGTTTCTGACATTAAGTTAGCTTTAAGCTTATTGGCTATGCCAACAACTGGAGGCAGCTTGGAACCCAGCCCCTGGAACGCATTTGCGGGATTTACTACCCGTTTGCCTGACACCTTCTCCATGGTGACAGGTCTGGGCACAGACTTGCTAATCCAAGGGTGTCTTAATGCTTGAGCTGGGGTCAGGCGGGCAGAGGGGTCCCAGTGAAGACACCTTTTCAAAAACTCTATAAACAAGTAGTCATCACACCCTTTCAGGGCTGTCACCCAGTCTTTGCTGCCTGGGGGACCCCGCTTTTTACCCCTACGTGAGCGACCCCCCACAAGCACAACCCTCCCATCTGCCTGAGTAGTCACAGAACAGTAGCGAGGTAGGCCCTTGGAGTTAATAAAGTACTTGGCACGTTTGGACTGCTCCAGGAGTTTGGGCGGTGGCATCCCTAGGAGCTCCATCATACAGGCCAACTGGTCTCCTTCATCCTCCCCAGGGAAGAGAGGCTGTCCTGTTAAAAGTTCTGCAAGGATGCAGCCAAAGCTCCATATGTCGATGGGCGTGCTGTAGCGGCCTCCCAGGATGATCTCCGGAGCTCTGTAGAACCGAGACTGGATATACGTGTAAAGCTTCTGGTATTCAAAACAGCTGGACCCAAAGTCAATGACCTTGGTTGCACTGCGCCCGTGGTGTTTCAGGAGAATATTTTCTGGTTTCAGGTCACAGTGAATGATCTTATTTTTGTGGAGAGCATCCAAGGATTGCAAAATGGATTGAGCAAACTTTCGTACTAACTGGACGCTAAAACCCTGAAACTTGTTTTTTTTAATCAGTTCATAAAGGTCTATACTCAGCAATTCAAAGGCCATGCAGACATGGTTCCGGAATGTGAAACTTTCCAGCATGTGGATGACATTCATGCTCCCAGTTTTATCCTGCTTCCGAAGATGCTCCAATATCCGGATCTCCTCAGCTGCTTGACGATGGAAGCGCTTTTCATTGCGCACCATCTTGAGAGCCACGTACTGTCGAAGCTTGTGATCGTAGACCCGGGCTACCTGCCCAAAACTCCCCTTGCCTATAATTTTCAGCACCTCATATCGATAAGCGAGGTGGTCTCGAGGTACATGAATATAGGCCCCTTCTGCATCATCATACCCCCCATTATTGGGACCACCAAAAACTCCATGTCTTTTTTTGGCATTTGGTCCCACAAAGTAAATTTCTGGGTAATTGAAGATTTCCAGCTTCTCATAAGCAGTGAGGTGGTGTTTATACTGCTTCAGGGCTTGTTCTGGGGTCAGAGGCACCACTTTGGATGCTTTGGGTGAGCTGCTGGATTTCACTGTATTCAGGCTATCTGAACTTTTACCCTGAGAAACTGTAGGAGAGCATTTTTCAGAGTCATTGATGCCATCGCACTGAAAAGCATCAGATCTTCTGTTGCCAAATTCTTGAAATAGCTGTTCTACCTTCATTTCACCCCCATTCAGAAAGCGCTGAGTATTATCCCTTGTTAACTGCTCAGTGGTGATCTATGGAAAAGAAAAATGAATACAATGTTAAAGTCACATAAAAACAGTAGAAGGACGAAAGAATCCTTCCCAGACACAACAGAACATATCCAGTCATTTAAGTTAAAAATGACTTCGGGTCATTTGAGATAGGAAACTCTGTTATATTAATCCTCAGACTCCCTGAGTATTCTAACCACCCCTAAACCCTGTAACATGCCTTTCTTTGTTCCAGACAAGATGGTCTTCTTACCATACCCTAATCATTCTAGCTTCCTTCTAATAGGAATGTCTTTCTACTGAGAATCTTTTTGCCCCAACCACTCAAATCCTACGCTCTTTTCAAGCCCAATTCAAGCCCTCTCTCTTCCACTTACAACTGCTCCAAGCCCATACTCATTAACCTCACAGCTTTTTTTTGCATTTATCTTCAGAAACATTGATGTGAAAGAGACACATCGAGTGGTTGCCACCCACACGACCCCAATCGGGGCCGGGGACAAACTGCAACCGAGGTACATGCCCTTATCGGGAACCAAACACAGGACTCTCTGGTCTGCGGGCTGATGCTCTAACCTCTGAGCCAAACCAGCCAGGGCAACCTCACAGCTTTTTGAGTCTGTATCACAAAATCTGACATTTGCTTTTATATATGTGTGTGTGTATTAAGTGTTTATACTGTCTTATATAATGGTTTCAAGTACCTTCCCAAATCTTAAGGGCAGATAAGCAGGATCAAAACAATGTACATTAAAATATGCCGTAAATAACAAAGTATCATTAAAGAACAGAGGCAGGCAGGCAAGCAGTCCAGGGTCCCTGCCATTAACATAACTGGGCACCAGGTTCTCGTACTGCCTGTACCACTGCTCTCCAGTGGGGCTCAATGCTGACCACGGCCTGGAGCCAACCAGGTCTCCTCTCGGGTCCCTAAATAAGTTGCAGCCTTCTAGCTCAGTTCATTACTGAATCACAGAGGTTCTACGCCAAAGAGAACTCTTGAGATCATCTAGACCAATTTGTTGTGTATCTGAATAAGAATGAGAACCCAGTGCCCTGGTGCTTCTGGTAAAACTTATTCCTCTGAACTGAAACAAGATTCTTTGAAATTAGATGGGGGAAAAGAAAAGCAGAAGAGCCAAACACTGGGGGGGGGGGGGGGGGGGGGCAAGAAGGTGCTAGAAAAAGGAAAAAATGTTAAATCTGTCATTAAAAAAGAATTCTGGGCCCTGGCCAGTGCGGCTCAGTTGGTTGGGCATCATCCTGTGCACCAAAAGGTTGCTGCTGGTTTGATTCCAGGTCAGGGCACATGCCTGGGTTGGGGGTTCGATCTCTGGCAGGGAGGGTACAGGAGGCAGCCGATCAATGTTGTGCTTTCCATCAATGTTTCTCTCTTCTCCCTCATCTCTCTCTAAAAATCAATGAACTATATATATTTTAATTCTAAGACACTTCAAAGAGTATCTTTTTCTTAATAAACACTGAATTGTACTCCCGATCTGTTTGATCACTTCTGACAGTCTCTATGATCAGGGATAGATATTTAGGGCAGCTCTGAACTCTAGTTATAATCACTAAAAAAAAATGATAAAAATGTAAAGGTAACGATCCAAAATGGCCAAACCTTTAAAAATCAGAATTTTAATGTAACCTAAACAAACACCTGGCCTATTATCTTAAGTAAACAATAATATAAAAGATGAAAATATAAACAACAAAAAAGTATGACAATATTTAAGTGTTAAAATACTCTTTTAAAGAAGTTCCTAGCCCTGGCCAGTTGGGCTCAGCGGTCAGAGCGTCAGCCCGTGTACCAAAGAGTCCCAGGTTCAGTTCCTGCTAAGGGCATGTGCTTTGGTTGCAATTTGTCCCTGGCCCCGGTTGAGGTTGTGTGGGTGGCAGCCAGTCGATGTGTCTCTCTCACATCGATGCTTCTCTCCCCCCCACCCCCTCCTGCTCTATCTGAAGATTAATGAAAAAATGTCCTCAGATGAGGATTAAAAAATAATAATAATAAAATAAAGACAGCTCCTAATCTAAGTTATAAAAGCAAAATGTTAGTTCTTGCCTCCTCCTTTTAGGTCAGTTACTCAACTGAAACATTTATAGAGTACTACAGTTAAGACATGAGGTATTACACAATCTTACACAAAGGCAGCCAGAACCCAGAGCCACACTTTGGCATTTGGTTTTAAATTAAGGAGGCGAGCCTGGCCAGTGTGGTTCAGTGGATTGAGCATCATCCCGCAGGCTGAAGCTCCAGTTCCATTCCCGGCCAGGGCACATGCTGGGGTTGTGAGCTCGATCCCCAGCAGGGGGTATGCAGGAGGCAGCTGATCAATGTTTCTCACATTGTGTTTCTCTCTCTCTCCCTTCCTTGTCTCTAAAAAAATCAATTAAAAAAAAACAAAAACAAAATAAGGAGCAGAGATATGGACCAGGAAAAATCTCTGATACCAAAATAAATAACTATCACTGGTCAAAAAAATAAAATAGGCCTGCAGACAGAACCTAAATACCTTGCTAAAATATAAACTATAATGCAAGATTTTTCTCATCAGTAATTAAGTCAAATAACATTCCTGTTTTTAAGGATGAGAAAATAAAATACTTACATGAACAATGACTGTTCATGATTATAAATGCTAAGAAAAAACAGGTGTTCTCAGGGAGCTACAACCTATTAGGAGATAGTCTGGCTGAACTGGGAATTAGAAGTGTTTGGTTTTAGGTAGATTTATACAACAAAATGAGTATCTCCATGCATCTCAGCCAGTTTTGTGTAAAATGTTTACTCCCTAACTTAAATGCATCAAAATATTTACACATTCTGAAAAAATGTGAAGTCAGAAGGCCTGGGCTGGAGTCCTGACTATACTGCTTAAAGCTGTAAGTCCCTGGGCAGGTTGCTAACCTGTAGCCCAGTTTCTTAGCCTCAGTTTATCTATAGAATGTGGACAATAACACCTGGCTTACAGGATGGTGTGGGAATCAAGTAACAATAATAAATGTGAAAGACCCTCGCAAACTATAAAACAAAAACCACTGGTAACAATGATTCTCAATATATTAAGGTTTAAACTCCTATACACCCTCCCTCTCCCCTTTCAGTTTCTCTCTCCTCTCTGTGGTGCCTTCTTCCACATTCCCAGTCTCCCTCCACTAGACATCTGGCACTAAATATGCCTTCTGCTCTGTCAAGGCCCCCACAACACGCCTTCCCTTAGGATGCACAGAAACACCTCACCCACTTTCTCCCACATATAAAACTGGCTTTCAACTTGCTATACAGTTTAATTTGTTACCTCTCCAGAGATATTTGAACGTTAACAGAAGATCAATGCCTTAACTCAAAGCAATGACTCTCTAGGAAGTGCAGTCATCAATGACAAGCTGGTAGGAAAGGGATTTGTGGTCCAGGGTCCATCCCTGGGCATCTCACCTACTCTGCCTACATGTAAGGCTGCGCTGGCTCTGGAGGTCTTCATTTCTGTTTGTGATAAAGAGAGGGTCTCAGGTACAGAACATTAATAAGAACAGATATATAACAAATTTCATTTCCACAGAACTATTACAGTAAGATTAAAAATGTCATTTTGACTTCCTGATTTATGGTTTTTCCTGAAAGAGAGCCTAAAGCGCTCTCCCTGAAAATTAAATCTTATTTTGCCCTCTGGAACTCCACGGAAGTATCCAAATTCCATGCAAAAGCCCTCAGATACCTAAAAGGGGCTGGCCTGCCCCCACCGGTTTTCTCTAGGTTCATCATCCCCATTACATTCTCCATCTCCCATGGCTGTCAGGTTCCCTCCCTAAAATTCACACTCTTAATACAGCTGCACTTTATGTCTCTCTCTTCAAGTGTAGCTCCCAGAACAGAACATGACACTTCAGGTGTTTTTCACTATGGATTATCAAGGTTCCAATCTCCAGTCAATCTGGAAAATTCCAGGAGGGAAAAATTCACACGGGTGGGGCGGTGTGTGCGTGTGTGTGTGTGTGTGTGTGTGGGGGGGGTGTTTCTCTCCTTAGCATTCTTTCCTTTCCTGTAAATAACTCAAATACTGGCCTGAATCAATTATATATCAAATCTGCTGTACTATAAATAAAATCTTCCTTCCATTGTTCTAGAAGACTCTACAGTTTTTACACGTTGGAGTATAACCGTTTTAAAACACTGTATTCTTAGTCTGGGTTTATAATCATAACCAAGCAATGTACATGATCGACTATACCACATACTTTAACTACGTAATTATATCCAGAGAGATAGATGCCAGATGAATCATGTTTTACTTAAGAATGCTTCACATACACTATTAATGTGGAGGTCTCTTGACATTTCAAATAGAATCTTCTACTCTGTTAATCAAGTCTTAAAGATCTTGTTAAGAAATTCAGAAAAATGTAGCCTTCTCATCCAGATATAAAACACTATCCTCTCCATAGTTCTTGACCCAAAATCTCTGCAACACAAAACTTAACCCAATAAAAGCCCACGAGCAGATAATCCGTAGTTTACAAGGAGAATGCAAGACAGTCTGGGATAAATAATGACTCTAAAAAACTGTGAAAATAGGGATAGGGTGTCAGGATGGATTCATGGCATCACAGACTAAAGTGTAACCAAGAGGTCAAAAAGCATTTTTCAGCAAAATTTGCAGTGACACCACTGGGTTAAATCTAAAATCTCATGTTTCCCAAAAACTATGACTCTGAATAGCATCCAGTTAAGAAATTCATTTTGATCCTGAAACATACATTTTGACAGACCTACTAGAAGGTGGATAGCATTAGCCAACTCTGAATTAAAGTGAAAATGAATTTTAAGACGCATGTTAATGCACCAGCCTTCTACAGAGGTGCTAACTGGCAGCAAGTAATCAAGAAATGTGATGGTCAACACAAACAATATGTGGTTCTGGAGTTCTCAGAGGTTTTTGTATATTAAAGAAGTAAACTTATAGAGAATGGAAAGGAACCTTGCTTTACTCCAGAGAGGTGATTAAAAATAGGGTGACCAGCCTTCCAAATATATTTAGCCCATACTTCGTAATATTATTAGCCTTGAAAGTAGTGAAAAGGTTGATTAGCAAAAGCTGACAGAAAGTTGGGAAGGACTATGAAAAATACAAGTGATTTTTTTTTCATATAAAAACAATGTTAGGTCTTCAACACAGAAATATGAAGGAGAAATATTACAAATTAGTCTATTCAATTATTCAATTTGTTCATTAGATGCAGCAAATTTTAAAGTCACAGGATAACCTCTCCCTAAGCGGAACTTATTCAAACCCTGCTCTCCTTGCTACACTGAGGAAATCTAAACTTATGTGGTCTCCAAAATTATTAAATGCCTCAAAAACCAAACTGTACTGTTACGTTTTATTTATGACCTATAAAATGGGTGTCTTCAAACTGATGGCTGCCAGAGGGGTAGAAAAGGGGAAGGAAATTAAGAAACACAAACTTCCAATTATAAAATAAGTCATGAGATATAAATAAAGCACAGCACAGGGAAATACAGTCAGGAACATCATAAGTATGTATGGTGCCAGATGAATACCAGACTTACATTTTGATCACTTTGTAAGGTATATAAATGTATATAAATATATAAACCATAATTAAAAATGAAATTTTAAAAATGGTTCTCTTTAGCATACTAATAAACTAAAACTACATTTCTATATTGTAGAGAAAAAACCTGCTGATCTATGAATTCAGGAATATTTTCTATTCCTTGTTTTTGTTAAATGGAGCCTTCGAATACACTGTTTAAATCATAACAAAATAAATATTACCTATATAAAAGCATATTATTTTTTTTCTTAATGCCATGTATTTATTCCACTGACTGACAGGAATAGTTGGCCTCTCAATCAAAATCAATGTGAAAAGCAAAACACAGACCACAGAAGTTATTATTCCAAAGTCAAGAGAAAACCAAAAGGTAACAAAGAGTCTGGGTTGCCAGTGAGATGTAACTGTACCTTGGGCATTAAGTAGCACTTCCTCCTTTCCAAGACAATTACCGCACAAAGAATTACTTCATATACTTACATTTAGTCTTCTAGGTAGAGGTGGTTCAGAAGCATTGCAGAGAACATTTGAACAGGGTGGGCATTTGGTTTCATCTATCATCATGAAGGTATCATAGACACCATCCCCCAATCTAGTTGAAAGGATTGCAGATAAAATCTGTTAGTAACTGATGTACATAAATTCCTATTTCCAAAACACCCTGTGTCTTAACTGCTTCATATCTGCTACAAAGAATAATTAATACAAATAAATGTCTACACTGCAAAGGGGCGTTTGGCAGAGGAAGAAAGGAAACCCAAGTTTTCTTTCCTTTTTTTTTTAAAGAAAGCATAGCATTTCTAGGTTTGTATTTTGAAGTAATTAAAGCGAGTCTTACTTTCTGAATGTTGTGAAAAAGAAGGGCTATCAAAAGAATTTCATTTAAATTTCTACTTGAAAATGAAGGCTAGTTTGACTCTGAAGCTTAAAAACTAAACAGAACATAAAAAAAAAAAAAAAAAAAAAAGACAGAAGTAACTGTATTTTCCAGACGTGGATTCTGATCTCAGCTCTACCACTGGCTGCACTGCATTCCTCTTGAGCTTGTTTTCCACATGCTAAAATGGGAAGAATTATTCCAGTTTACACACTCTGGGTCTGGGTCTTACAGGCAAGAAATAAAAGGTCTTTTTAGGGCTATCTTTTTTTTCCCCCTTCTTCTTACCTATTTAATATCTACCTAACTTGTAGGAAAATACAGTATAAACTATAACAAATTGTAAGGAATCTTCTCAATTACAAAATGTACTAAATTTCACTTCTTTTTATCCACTCCATTTTCTAGTGGATGGTGGAAGCTAAATGCTAAATGATTAAGGATCATTTCTCTCTTCTTTAACACTGTGCCTATACCACAGTAAGGAAACACAAAAGATGAAGCGGGTTTATTTAATCCACAAGATGGCCCTGAATAGTGTATTTCATCTGCCACCAAGAATATGGACTTCCCAGTTACACACATCAGCATTTCATTATATCATTTGTACATGATATTATACAATGATGATGACTGGGTTGCACAGAAAGACTTTTTAAAAAATCTTTTAAAATATGCTGAAATATTTCAGTTGCCTTTAAAAACTGTTTTTGTAAAATCAGTTCTTAGGGTTTTCTTAATTGATGTTATAGGAATAAACACCACCACCAACAACAACAACAACAAAAAAACACTACCAATATTTCTGAAGTGTTCTTTTTAAAACATGCCCACATTCTGCCAGAACCATTTATATCTTTAACGAAAACTGCTTCACTGACAAAACCCAAAAATTTTGGATGCGACTGACTCTTTGCCAAAAGTATGAATAAAACAAACAAAACGGGACTGACCTCCACAGTTAAAGACAAAAAGGTACAAGAAGGTCTACAGATTTCACAAATCTCCAGAGGAAATTACCCAAAGGAAGTCTCCATGCAAACGAAGCGCGGAGGGGGCCCTTCTCCCCACTTAGGTGTGAAATACAGTGTAAGGTGGGGACTCTCTCAAAATAGGTTCCACCGAAAGCCTTTGCAGCAGAGCCCCTCACCTGCACAGAGGAAGCCAAACCGCACCCCTCACCTCAAAGCCCCGCGAGCTCAGCCCTTGGTTATCTACTCGAAGCAACAGGGCTTCCCTGCAAGCGACTGCTCCCTGTCTAGCCCAGTTTGCTAAAAAGTCCCAGCTCCTCAGAGTTCCTTAGCATATACACCCCGATCTACGGGTTCAGAGATGATTATCCCAAGGGCGGCAACTCCTCTTCCCCTAAATACGCTCTAGCTCCCTCCCCGGCTCTCGGTGGGCTGGGGGAGGGGAGCTGAGGAAGAGGAAGAGGGTAGACCGGTTTCTGGGACAGGGTCAGACCCCTTCCTTCATCCCTCCAGCAGGGGTCCTGCCCCGCCCCCCGGCCCCAGACCTCGCCTGCCAGCGCCAGTCGCTCGATCGGGCGCCCCCAGCCCGTTACCCAGCGGCGCCGTTACCTCCGCTGCTGGGGCGGGAGTCCGGCTCCGGGCGGCCCCGCATCCTTCCGCCCGGGCCCGCGAGCCGTGCCTCCCATCGGCTAGCTCGGGACCCCCGGGGGGAGGGGCGGCGGTTGGAGGGTCCGGCGGGCAGCGTCCACCTGCGGTGGGGAGGCTGCCTCCCGGCCACGACGCTTCCCCGGAGACTCGTGCAGACACCGCAGCTCCGCGTGCCTCTGCTCGAGACAGGCCGGGGCCGGGAGGGTGAAGAGGAGAGGCGGGCGGGCGGGGGGAGCAGTGTGGTCGCCTAGCAACCGTGGCACGCCCCGGGAAACGCCTCTGCGCAAAGACGCTTGACGCACGGAGGCGGGGCCGAGGCCTTTTCCCCACCGCGCAGGCTCCCGGAGTTTCAAGAGGAGGATCCGCTGCCCGGGTGGACCGGCTCCTCTGGTCCCGAGCCTAGGGTGGAGGACCCCGGCTGGGGAGTAAGACGGCCCCGGCGGAGTATTGTGAAAGTAGCACTTAGTCCCCGTTTCTACTTCAGAAGTCTGCTGTCCCTTAACACGCCGCAGCCTGGAGTTCTAAAAACCTCTTTGGAACAGGAATTTAAAAATGAATGGAAAAAATGTGTCATTTTTTAGGCTTCCCTACTGAGCACCTCTCCCCTCCCCCCGGGCAATAAGTTACATAGGAGAGCAATAATAATAAGCTCAATTAGTGACACTGCCAGAGCTCTCGAACGTTACATTGTTTTATTTAATCTCAGTAGCCGTACCAAGATGACCTCTTCTACAGATGTCAGCTCTCTTTTTCAGACTATAAACTGAGGACTGAGACCCCTGCAGTGGGATGCCCCGGATGGCAGGGCTCAAAGAGCCATTTTAGGGATGAGAAAATTGAGGCCAGAGGAGCCGTGCTTCCTCGGGATCTTCTAGTTAGCAAAAGCTGAACTAGAAACGTGCAAATTCCCAGCCTTCCTCCTGCTGCACCAGACCCCCTGGAAGAAGGCTCTTCCTGTCTTTTTCTTTGGAGTGTATGTGAGGAGGAGGGTCTTTTCTGAAAAGTTAAGACACCTTGGTAACATCAATGTTAAACGTGTTTTGATAGTTGAAGCTAAAGTAAGAGGGAAAGATGTTAAAATAGAAGAGGACTAGTGTTGTTTTCTTCAGCGTGACATCCAATGTTTGTCTAAACCTGCAAAACCGAGGCCACCTGACCCTCAAGGGGAGAACCCAATGCTGTGTTCTGCAAATGCCGAACACAAGGCGCCACCTGGTGGGACTTGGTGACTCACAGACCCAAACCATAGTCCATAAATTGAAATTTTCCATGAGGGTCATTTCCGTGTGACCAGAAGTCATATTCCTTGCTCTCATGCTTCCAAGTAAACATGCCCTTAAAATCCAGAGGCTCTCATTTATTAAATTAAGAATGTGTCCGTTTAGAGAATTTTATTCTTTGTGATCAATGTTGCTTTTGCCTCTGATGTAAATATAAATAAAAATGTTTTCTCCTATAATGCTTTTTAAAATTTTTCTAATTTTATAAATAAGTTTTTTTTCCCTCCCTACTCCCCCTCCAGAGCAATCCTGCCTCCATATAGGTTTGCATTTGGGCTCTTACAGAAGCTTTTATTTAAAGAACGTTCCATGGCAACAAAAGGTTTGAATGAGATTGTTACTGAGGTCCCTTTCAGCTCTAAGATTGCAAAATTCTATTAAATTATCACTGTTCTTAGTACTCACATGGACGCCTCAGACCACTTTACTGACCTAAGCATGAGAATGGGACTTGCCCTAGTTTTCTTATTACCTCATTCTGAGTCACTGCTTAGAGAGGATTGCATCTCCTGTCTGGACACATCTCTGTGAGGCAACCTGAAGCATCCTTGCTCCCTTCCTGCCCCGAGGTGGGAAACACGGAGGCTTCGTTTTTCTTTACGCTATTGTTCCCATGGTGGAGGGAGGGAGGATTCCTTGAGGTTACTGGAGCTTCATAAACCTCTAACCTTAGTGACCCAAGTACTTTCCAGTATTTCTTTAAAGAGTCCCTGTTTTAATAGTGTGGCTGGGTTAAAGTCCCTCCTGACTTGCTCCTCTGATCTTCAGCTCTTGAACAGGAAGTTTTCACACCATCCACACCTTTTCTTCCCCTCCAAAGCCTCACTCAAGAGTAGTTCAAAATCACCATGATCTTTCTCCACGAAGCTAAAGCCAGACTTACCTGCCATGGATTAACCAAATATCATATGATACCTGCCTGCCTTTTGAAGCCAATTCCAATACATCTGCAAAATAGAAAACCCACAACACACCGACAATAAAATGGGACTATCTCAGGATCTTCAAAGATCATCGGATCATTCAGAATGTGATAACAGCAGTATCAAAGGCATAAGTTAAGAAAATGTCCCTGTGATCACATTCTTCCGGAATTTTGTGATGAAATAGTTGTTGATGGGTTAGGTTAAATTTAAATTGTTTTATTGCTATGAATTATTCTTTGCATGTGTGCCATAATGCACAGTATGACATGAACCACAAAATTGGGATGCATTAAAAAAATAAGTTGGAGAGAGCTTGTGAGACTTACTCTTTTCTTCCAGCTGTATCAACCTCAAATTCACCTGCACTCCAGAAACATGTACTTGCTACTCCTTCAGAAGCATGAACTCTACCTCACAGAAGCACTAAAGCCGTGTCTTATTTTTCTAGTGCCTCAAAAACTGTCTCTTCTGAACCTCACTTCTTCTTTTCACTCCCCCTAAGCTTTGAAAGATGCCCCTATTAATGCTTCAGAATCTTGAAAACAAAACCAAAACAAACAAAATCCCTGTGCTTCTTTCAGTACTGTGTCACCTAAACCCCAAAGTTTGTCCTTATGAACCCCTAACCCAGGAAACATTTCTTTTCCCCAAATTCCTGCCATCTCTTTTCTCTTGCTCCTCCTCAGCCAGAATGACCAGTTCCACAGACAGCCCTTATGGGGCCAAGTGAAAGTATATTTCTGAAGTCTTAAAACCTAACTGAAACTCTTCCTAATCATCACTACTATTTATTAAGTATTTATTATGTTCCAGGCACCATTTGAAGTGCTTTACATATATTTTCTCATTTAAAACTCAAAACAGGCCTGTGAGATAGGTATTATCCTCATTTTACACTTCAGAAAACCATCTCAGAGATGAATAACTTGTCGAAGATCACCCAGCTGGCATGTGATGAATTGGAGTTCAAACCCGCTCCCTTTGCTGCCCGAGTCTGTCAGTACTGCCCAGACTAGATCATGGAATCTTTGAATCTGTGATACACAGTTTTCCTTGATCTAAGATTCCAAAATGTGGTAGACAGAATAATAATTCTCCAATGATGTTCTTGTCCTAAACTCAGAACTTGTAAATAGGTCACCTTAAATGGCAAAAAGGGACTTTGCAAATGGGATTAGGTTAAGAATCTTGAATTGGGGAGATTATCCTAGATTATCAAGATGGGCTCAGTATAATCACAA